AAACTGAGGGTGTCTAGGGCAGTAACACTCTCTTGCCAGTGGATGAGAAAGAGCTTGAAGGAAGGAAAGAGAGGAACCTGTTTTGACACCCAAATGGGTTGTCAGGGATGGCCTCAGATTCTTAGGACCTTCAGGATGCACCAGAGTAGCCCTGGTTAGGCACCATCAGTTGTCCCAAGAACGTTCACCCTTGTTTGGAATTATTAAGATTCTATAAAGCAAATCAAGTCATGAGCTGCTTGGCATTTCCACTGGTAGTAATGGGCATTCCTTGGCAAGCCTTTACTCTGAGTCTTTAGACTAATTGCTCTTAACTGGCTGACAGATGCTTGGTGTTTGCATTTGATAGAGTCCATTGTAGGGACAAGAATCTCCCCAAAAAGGTAGAGTCCACTTATTTTCCCCTCTGGTGAGAAGCATAACCTTCAAAATATGTTGCAGCAATTCTGAGTTTGCCAAGTTCATGCGTCTTGATCATGAAGAATTAGAAGCATTGACAAATGGAGAGAAAATAAAGAATTTGTTGAAAGAGGAAAGCTCTTGACAGGAAGAGTTCCCAAAAGTGGGTAGCTGACATAAGACTTGAGTCTGGGGGTTATCTCCTAGCTAAGAGCAACTAGTGTGTGTATTCCCCTCTCTCCAGGGGACACATGCCAGGTGGGTCATGAGACCTATTTTCAAATGGGCCTTTGGTCATGAGACCCTAAACAATGATGAATTGTTACTCAGTTCTTTGTTTAAAAGCTTTGGGGAGACAGGCAATTATCTTGTTCTCAGAATGAGGTGGGTGGTGTGACCTGGAAAAAGCCATAATTGCTATAATTGCTTCTGTAAGTAAGTTGCGCAGCAATTAGTTCCTTGTGTGAGCAAGCTGTGAGCAATTTCTAGTGAATGAATTCTGGTGAAAACTTGATGGTGGTGACTCCACCTTGTGGGCCTGCACCCTAACTATATGTGTGTTGTCTATTGGCTGCATCAGCATGGACGTTAAAAAAAAATGTGTAACATTTTCAATGAACTAAAATCTTTAAAGACTGCCAATTAGAAGTTATTTCTTTATTCTTTAGAAATGAATAGAAGGGGCCAGCAGATGGCATATTGGTTAAGACAATGGACTCCCATAGGACCTACTGTGGTTCAAGTCCTGGACTTGAATCTGAATAATGGATTGTATTTGTGAGGGTGAAATAAAAGCTTCCCTCCACCTTCAGAAGGCTTCCTGAAAGGAATTAACAATAGAAAGATTAATAGAAGAAAAAGTCATACATTTATTAACATGCATGAGAGTAGGGGTGGATCACAGTATTGGGGAAAATCACAAGAGTATGATTTCCCAACTCAGTGAGATCCAAATGCTTATTACCCTTCTTCATAGAGGGAGTGAGAGATAGGGAAGGGAAGAGGAATGTAGGTGGGGTAGTAAATTTTGTCAGGGAAGATGAAAGGACAAGCAGACAGACATTATCTTGTAAATGATTTTTTTCCTTTGGAATTTTAGTGAGCCTAGGAGAACAAAAATATCTTGTGACAAAGTCTATTGAGGTGTGACTACATTCTTTGAAGTGTGGTTAAGTTCTTAAATATTCTATCTGGAACAGAGAAAAGGATTTCAGGAGGGGGTAGAAGGTGGTTCTATGTATTCTCTGGTGGTCCATGTGTAGGTAGCTAAAGGAATTTCAGAAAAAGATTTATACCCTGAGCTAGGAAAGAGGGAAACAGAAGAGGTCAGAATGTCTTGGATTCTGTGGCTCTTCTTCTTCTTCTTTCTTCTTTCTTCTTCTTTTTTAAAAGAGATTTTTGCTATAGGGCACATGCGCTCACTGGAGAGTCAGAGAGTCAGAAAACGAGTAATCACTGTCCAGCGGGGATGGCTACACAGCAATCCCTTCCCCTCTATTCTTCTTTCAGGATTTTGGGCACACATGCACATGCACACACACCCAGCATGAGTTTTAATCTGCTGGGATTAGAGCTCAAATCGTAGTCAACAATGTGGAAGTCCAGCAACCTAAGCATTATGCCATCTGCTGGTCCCGATTCTGAAGCATCTTCTAGGTCTTTTTTTTTTTTTTTTCCATGCCTATGTGTCATACTTTTTGAACATTGTTTTCTGAGCCCCAACATTTTAATATCCATTTCCTGGTTCTGAGACTATACTACATTTATAATTATGCAAGATGTCACAGAGGTAGGAGACAGGTACACTGAAATATAGTTAGAGTATAGGCCCAAAATGGAAATGCAAAATGGCTAAGCTTTAAGATGGACACACACAGCTCAGCAGAGCTCAGCTCTCACTGAACTGCTGGCTCACAAGAAATTCCTTGCAGTGGTGACTCAGTGATTAACCTATGCAGCACGACCTAAAGTAATCACAGCATTTTTTACTTTTTTCAGGTTCCACTACATCCTAGAACCTACAAATGGCTTTTAGGACTCAAAGCTGTCAAACAAATACTTATGTAAACATTGACCACGGGATGATGGTCTCAAAAACCTGAAGCTTTCAGACAAAGATTTGAACAATCATTTTTCTAAGGAAATAACCTTATTAGCATGTAACCCCACAAGAAAAAGCATGAACAAGTTCATCCTAACTAGGATGAAAAAAATCCTAGACCTGGGACCTGTAGATGGCATAATAGTTACATTGCTGATTACCACGTAGTCAACCAGGGTTCGAGTCCCAGACCTGGTGGCTTAAATCATGCTGGGCACATGTGCTTGTGTGACAAAAATTCTAAGAGGAGAAGGGATTGTGGCATGGTCATTACCCCTGGGGGTGATTTCTCACTTTATGTCTCTGGCTAGTGCACGTGCCCTATTGCAAAAATTTCTCTCTTAAAAATAAATAAATAACCCTAGACCCAAGCCCAAATCAGCTACCTAGTTTTTGAGACTCCCTCCCTGCCTGGGAGCTTATCCTCTCTCTCTCAGTAAACTTCACTTTCCTATTCCCTTTTTCCATGTTCTAATTCTTTGAGAGTGTAAGACAAATAATCGGGTTCGCTGCTGTTCCTGCATTGGGTACTGGACCTGATCACCCCAACATCACATCACACATCATTACCATTTAGGAAATTGGAAAAAGGTGTACAGAATCTCTCTGCAGTATTTCTTGTAACTACCTATACATCTACAATTACCAAAAAAGTATTTTAATAGCTGACTATGTTACAGGCTCAATGCTATTATGTTTTTTCTCTCTTCAAAAAGGATGGGAAAAATCGTGGCCATAATAATTATTTTCCAGTAAATCTCACCAGGATTTCTGCATATGTTCCTCAGAAGGAAAAATTCTACATTATTACCACAGATGGGCCTTAAAATGCTTTCAGAGTTCTTACGTAAATTTGCGCTTCATAAACTTGTCCAGATTACTCTTTAAAGCTGTTACTAAAAATCAAAAAGGAGGGACCAGCAGTTGGCATAATGGCTATGTTGTTGGACTTGCATGTAGTTGACGACTGTTTGAGTCCCAGACCCAGTGGCTTAAACTCACACTGGGCGTGTGCCCAGAATCCCAAGAGGAGAACGGACAAAAAGGGATTGCAGCGTGGCCATCCCACTGGGGGATGATTTCTCGCTTTCTGTCTCTCTGTCTTTCTGGCGAGTACATGCACCCTATAGCAAAAAGCCTCTCCAAAATAAATAAATATATAAATAAATACAGAAGCTACATACTGACCACAAGGAGGTTAGGCATAAGTGTCATCTTTTTTTTTTTTTTTTTTTGAGAGATTTGTGCTATAGGGCATGTGAGACAGACAGAAAGCAAGAAATTACCCTCTTGGGGAATGGCCGTGCCACAAGCTCTTCTCCTCGATTGTCCTCTCAGGACTTTGGGTACACACACATGTGCCTGGTGTCAGTTTCAATCCAGTGGGTCCGGGACTTGAACTGTGGCTGACCATGAGGGAGTCCAGTCACATAATCATTATGTCATCTGCTGGTCCAAGTCTCATCTTTCAAGAGGAGTTCAGATTGCAAGAAATAATCTTATTCTCCTCCTAAAAACTAGAAAGTCAGATTACCTCAATTGTGTATTTAAAACATACACACACACACACACACACACACACACACACCTTCCATTCCTTAATCAGACTCTTTAGTTGCAAGGGAGACATGGAAACTAATGTGGCAATATATTACTGTGTGTCATTGTTTTGAGTAGTGATTAAGAGGCAGTAAACCACTTTAGTTTCTGAAGTGTTTTGGTGTTTAGAATGTGTGGCATTTATTGTAGAGAATAAAAATGGAGGTTAACCCAAAGAAGTAAAAACCCTTAATATGGCATATGAAATAATGAACTACTTCCAAGGATCAGAGTATTCTCTTTCCATGCAGAATGAATCACAGGTATTTGTAAGCTAAAATAATCTATTTATAAATAATGTCATACAAAAGATCATCTTTCAGTAAGACATCTGGATGGTAGGAGAGAGCAAAGCTTTTGTTCTGAGGATAAAATGGTCTAGGTGCAAGTTTAGAGTCCAAAACTGCGGCCTAAGACTAAGGCTGGGTAAAGGGGATTATTATATACCAACAATTATATATAATGCATAGGTTTTTGCAAATGCATTGGTTGATGCATAGATCTGACATACTGAGACCAGTGGTAATTAGATTATATCTATTTTATTACTGTGTAATTTTCCAGTCACATAGATACATTAAAGCAAATTACCAGCTACATATTTCATTTTAAAACATCACAGAATTTATACCAAAACTCATATATATATATATGTATATGTATATATGGTTTTTGGTATAGGGTGTGTGTGCTCACCAGAAAGACAGAGAGAGAGACAGAGAGATAGAGAGATAGAAAGCAAGAAATCACCCCCCAAGGGGGATGGCCATGCCACAACAATCCCTTCTCCTCCATTCTCCTCTTGGGATCTTGGGCACACACGCACACATGCCCAGTGTGAGTTTAAGCCACCGGGTCCAGGACTCAAACCATGGTCGAATACATGGGAGTCCAATGACATAGCCATTATGCCAACTGCCGGTCCCACTCATTTATATTTTCAAAAATTAATATAAGCAGAAAATGATCTAACAATGGCAATGTCAGTGGTAAAATCTTGGACTGAACTAATATACAGTGTATTTATGCTGGGAAAATCCATATTGTATGTTGTAAAAATGTACAGTGAAAGAATGTAAATAAGTAAATAAGAGAAAACACTTTTTTAAAAAAGAAAATAATTTAAGTTTATTAGAAGTCCCTATTTCAATAATCATATTTCTGAGTCATATACTCTCATGTTCATTGGAGAGGATATAATTCACCTTTAAGATGTTATATTTTTTTCTAGACTTAATAAACTATTTACAAATCTTGATAATCAGAAAGAAAATACTAAGAATGCAACATTTGCTTCACCAAGTAGAAAGTGTCCTTCTGTCACAAACAAAATTCTTGCACTTCCTAGGTCAATCTTTAAACAACTTTAGATGTAAGAGGCTGGGATTCACATACACGGCACTAAATAGTCCAAGGGTACTCTTGATAGAACACGGGAGATGTTACTACAATTTTGCTTGACTCCGACGTGCTTGTTTACTCCACTTCATCATACATGTACTCATTCAAAAAAAACATGAAAATAAAAAATATTACTCATAAAATTCCTATGGCATGTCTTCAGTGGTTTACAGAGATTTTTGGTTTTAAACATTTTCAAATTTTTCACGAAAGTTTTGACTCAGTTGTTCAAATGCTAAGACAACATTGTCATCTTCATTTTCACATAGTTCACGTAAGGAAACACTGCAAGTTGGAAAAAATGTACAAATAGCACCATTTTAGTGAGATTGAATGTTATAAGGAGGGCTTTCCCAGGGTAGTCACAAGTAAGTAAATTCTGTAGATAAAATATCATCTATAGAGAAAAGGAATGATGATTAGAAACATAGTTATTTCAAAACACCTAGTACCAAAAAGTAGTTAAGGTAACAAGATGACTCCCATGAAGTTTCTCTTCATGTCTTTTACCAAGAGGATTTGAAAGGTTATTAAATTCCGAGATCATCAAATGGTGAAATGGTTACATCGCCAGACTCTAATGTAGTTAACCATGGCTCATGGCCCACACTCAGCGACTTAAAACTCACACCAGGCATGTGTGTGTGCATTGCCAAACTCAAGAGGAAAATGGAGGAGAAAGGATTGCAGTGTGGCCATCACCCCTGGGGGTGGGGGGGTGATTTCTTGCTTTCTGTCTCTTGGTTTCTCTTTGACTCTCTGGTGAATGCATTAGCCCTATAGCAAAAATCTCTTAAAAAAAGAAAAGAAAAGAAAAAAAGAAAGGCTATCAAATTCTATGTGTTGGGTCATCAGGAAAGTCTTGACACATTTTCACACAGAAAAGTACATCAGGACTTTCCCAACCTAATAACTTGCTCCTTAGTCTCTTCAAGAGCACTATACATATTTCTTTTCTCCAGATATCTTGTATAGTCATTTTATACATTTTCTTGTTTTGTTTAAAAAACAGGCTCTCACCATGCTATGACCCTTCTGCCTCAGCCTCCCCAAATTGCTGGGATTACAGATGCACATCACCATGCCTGGCCTTTAGGCTTATTTGAAATTGAACCCAGGCCTCTTATGTGTTCCCAGACTGCAGAGCACAGAATCTGAGCAGCGCTAAAATGGCTCTATTACGTGTGTGTGTGTGTGTGTGTGTGTGTGTGTGTGTGTGTCTGTGTCCAATATAAACTGAAACCCAGAGACAACTACGTTTAGAAAAAGAAAAATATTTTTTCCCTTTCCCTAAATGTGTGAGAAAATAAAGGAAACAAGATACAGTGAACAAAATAACGGTGCAATAAAGATATCCAAGTCCTGATTCCCAGAAAATTATGAATATATGAGGTTTATAAGGGATAGAGGAATTACAACTGCAGATAGAATTCAAGTAGCTAATCAGTTGGCCTTGAAAAAGCCAAGTTATCCTTGGGAACCAGCAGTTAGCATAATGGCTATGTCGCTGGACTCCCATGTAGATGACTGTGGTTCGCGTCCCGGACCCGGTGACTTAAAACTCACGCTGGGCACATGTGCGTGCGTGCCCAAGATCCTGAGAGGAGAATGGAGGAGAAGTGATTGCGGCGTGGCCATCCCCCCTGGGGGGGGGTGATTTCTCGCTTTCTGTCTCTATGTCTCTCTCTGTCCGGCGAGCGCACACACCCTACAGCGAAAAAAACCTCTCCAAAAAAAAAAGCCAAGTTATCCTGGATTATCTGGGCAGGCTCTGTATCATCCTTGTAAGTGGAAGAGGGAGACAGATGAGCGTTCATGTTCAGAGTGATACAACGTCAGACTCCACTGACCAGTGCTGGCTTTGAAGATGGAACGGAACCACAAGCCAAAAAACTCCAGCAACTTCCGAAAGTCGGAAAAGGCAATAAAACAGTCCTTTCCAGGCTCTGAAGATGGATGCAACCCCTTGATTTTTAGCCCAATTAAACATTTTTTTTTTACTTCTGACCTCCAGAATGATAAGATATTAAATTTATGTTGCTTTAAATCACAAAGTTTGTGGTAATTTGTTACAGCAGCATGGAGAAACTTAGGTACAGGGGAAAGGAAATGAAATGCAAGAATGAACAGTGCCACTGGACTTATTAAGGACTGAAAACAATTGAAATTTGACATTTCATCAGCCTTTTTAATTTGCATTTAGCTCGCTTCTACTAGAGTTCCATTTTTTCCCCTAGTGTCTCTACTGACCTATTACAACAAAGGATCAGATGAGGCTCTACAATTCCCCCCGGAGATACAGACCTATAATTAGGAATGGAAATTTACTCCTGAAAGATATACACAGATGTCATGTGATGCGTATAAATTTTAATTCACTACTTTGGGTTTTCATTATCAAATGTTATCCTTACCCTATGTAGTTTTACTGAAATAGAAACTTTGGTAATTCTTACCAGCTGCATCAAATTTACTACCAATTCTTTGAATTCTACCTCATAAATGTTTTTTCTGACTGCTCTTCTGTATCATTATTTCTGTTTCCATAACTCAGACCTTCACTCATTCTCACCTTCAAGACTATTACAGCCTTTAGTCAGCCCTATGCTTTATCTTTAGGCCACTATAGCTCTTACCATGTTTTTAATGTATACAAGTCTGTTTCTTTCCCCATACTATCAGTGGTTTGTTTTTGTTTTAATTTGCTTTTTTTAAGCAGGGATAGACTTAATGATTCTTTCTATCTCAAATGCTTGGAAGAAAGGACCAAACTAAATAATACCACAGTATTTATTAGATGAATACATAAATGAAGCTTTTGGGAGAGCTTCAATGTCACTGGAGTTTCTTGGGCTGCTCTGGAGATTATAACTTGGGTTACTTCAGCCAAAGAATATGCAGATATTCTAGAGCTATGCCATGTGGACAAAGAAATACCCTATGCTCTAGCATCCCAAAAGTTTCATTATATGTATGAAAAGTCTAAACTGGCCCAATTTAGCTCAAATGAAAGAAATTTTAAGAAATGACCTAATTACCAAGAACCTAATTACAAAAGGATTGGTGGCATATTAAATAAATAAAATAAGTGATAAGGCAAAAGAGCACCTATAAAGTATTGAGGTGCATACAGACTGGAGGCATTAAGAAGATGAACATTAAACTAGGCCACCTTAGATGGCCAGTGAAGCCTAAGGAAGGGTTGTTGCATAATGTTTGGTTTTGCTCGGATCCCTAGTGAACTCTTAAAGATAAAAACAGGAAGCCAATATGAGAGATCAGTGAGATGAAACCTGGAGTAAACACTGGATGAGCAGGAGATTCAGGAGTATGTAAGTGGGTATTAACCAGGAGTCTGATGAAGCCTGTGGAGCCCTCCAAAGATAATCAATCTGACACATACTGCTTGTGGCAATTGAAAATACTGGGGTCTCTGGGGTCAATGAAGCTTTGGAATATTGCTGCCTGTTGGTGCTGAGACTAATGAGGAAGGAACTTAATTTCAAATGGTCTTTGGAATTAATTCTGTTATAGAAACAATGCAACAGGGTGTGGAAGAGAAGTTCTGCAGAGCCTTTGGTGAATTAAAAGATATAGCAGGCTGGGCCAGCAGATGGCACAGAGGTTAAGGCAGCCAGATCCCACATGGCTGACTTTGTGGATCAAGTCCTAGACCCAGTGGCTTGAAAAACACACCAGACGTGTTTGTGTGTGTGTGTGTGTGTGTGTGTGTGTGTGTGTGTGCGCGTGTGTGCCCAAAATCCTCAGAGGACATTGGAAGAGAAAGGACTATGAAATGGTCATTCCCCCTTGGGGGTTATTTCTCACTTCTCTCTCTTTCTCATTCTCTCTCTCTCTCTCTCTCTCTTCTCCCAGTGGGCACATATGTCCTGCAGCAAAAACTAAAAATCTAAAATAAAATAAAAAGTGTAATATGTCAAGCCAACTACCTAGTGTAGTAGTAATGCACTGCTCAAAAGAAGCCAAATCTGAGATGGTGACTGCAGTTTGAATCCCCAGTCCAGTTGGCCTGAAACACACCAGGCACATGTGAGTGTCCAAGTTCTCATGGATTAGAGGACTGAAAGAAGGGAATTGTGGTATGAGCAGACCCTATAGAGGGTGCTCAGAGTGCTCATCTCTTTCTCTCTCTCTTTCTCTGTCTCTTTCACACATACATATACTCTACCATGAATATACTCTACATGAAGAAATAAACAAATAAATAATTTTTAAAAGAGGCTCAATAGTAACTTCAATTACTTGACTCATACTAAGAGCTCAACATTTTTCAAACTACAATGTAATCATCAAAAAATCTGGAATCAAGATTTAAATATGTAACGCACCTGATAGATTGAATGGTGAGTAAAAAATCTTTCAACAACTGATAAGCATCTCCTTCATTCATCCTAAACAAAGAAAAAATTGAAAATTAATGCTACAAAAAATTGAAGAATTTCTTACATTATATATAAATGCTGTTTTGTCAATATAGGTTACCTTTGTTTGGCAAGGCATATTTCCAAGAATTCTTTCTTTCATAGACTATCAGATGGTAATATATTTTTTTTGAGAGGACATTTATGAGACAAAGAAATGGGTCATTTCTGTTGAAGATAACGTGAAGAGTATCCCCAACTGGACTGGGGAGAAATGTATTCATGTTGGAATATTCACTTTACAAGCTAAGTGACAAATATGATTGATTGTTTAAAAAAATTGAAATAAAAAATATTTCTCATTTGCACTCTTTCTGTCTCTTTCCAGTGAGTGCACATGCCAAGTGGCAAACATTAAAAAGAAAAACAAAATTTAAAACAACCAAAAAAAGTTTTTCTTAAAATTCATTATTCATGACATATAATGAGATAAAAAGAAATAGTGAGAAAGAGAGGAGGAGAGAGGTAAACAGAGAACATACCCGTTGTCCTGAGATAATCCTTTCAAAGAACCATGTTTGTAGAAATCAAGTGCATAAGCATTGAGTGGCATTCCTCTTCCTTGGCTATCAAATTTCTGTGGCCACAGCACTGGAGCTTGAGTGTGGTTGATACTAATTGTGCGCAGAGTGACCTGAAGAAATACAATTCTTAATTTGTTATTTATATATACAGAAAGTTTGTAATTTCTTAATTTACACCTGCAGTTACTTTTTTGTTTTTGTTTTTGTTTTTTGGAGAGGTTTTGGCTAGAGGGCACGTGTGCTCACCAGAAAAACAGAGAAAGACAAAGAGACAGAAAACGAGGAATCACCCCCCAGGGGGGATGGCCATGCCACACTCTCTTCTCCATTCTTCTCTCGGGATCTTAGGCACACACGCACATGCGCCCAATGTGAGTTTAAGCCACCAGGTCTGGGACTCAAACGCGGTCGACTACATGGAAGTCCAGGGACGGCCATTAGGCTCTCTGCTGATACCCTTCCAGTTAGTTTTAAAAAACGTTTTTAAAGTACACTCATGGTGAAAGAGGAGGGTGTCTTTTACATACACACTGTGGTGGTACCATCTCTTATGATATGTATTTTACAGTGTAATGATCCTCGTTGGATAAAAAAATAAATAAATAAAAGGAGTAACTATCTTCTCTTTTTGTATTCCTTAGAAGAGTGCTATAGATTGAATATTTGCATTCCTTTCCCCAAATGTTCACATTTTGATTCCTTCCCCAACCTGAGAGCCAAAAAGGATCAGTATGTTTCATGGTGACTCCTGATCCAAACCTTGATCAGTCATGTGACTTCCAGAACTGCAGAACAGTACTTTACTAACTGCTTCTCAGCAATTGTGCCTGGATTCTTTTTTTTCCAATTTCGAAAATTTTAAGTCCTTTCTAGGTTGGCTAGCAGTATAAATCCATCCTTTGAAAATACTGTTAAATAAAGTCTATCTTTCACTTACATGGTTTGGAGTTCCTGGTTGAAGCAAATCATCATCAGAGTTCCCAGAGAGACAAACAAATGGTGAAATGGCTACTCTTCCCTCCTTGCAGCCCATCAAATGAGACACAAGTTGTGAGTCTTCACATTCTTTACCTGTGAATTCTGACCATAATAGATTGGCATAGATTACTATTGAAAAATCAACCTAATTGTCCAACCTTGTGGTTTTGCTCTAGACTGTGTTACTTGGGAGCCATTCAACTTTCCAGGGTCTACATAATAATGAAGACTGAATGGGTTGTCACATAAAGTGGCACAGGGGACATTCAATAAAATTTTGTTTATTAGCACCACTGTTATAAACCTGTGTACTAGGTCTTAGTTGCTTTAATCAACAGGAAATAAAAGACCATTATTTAAACTATGTGCTCTTTTAACAACATATTATTATTATTACTTTGGTACATTTTCCCACAACCCTCAAGCTTAGCATTAGAATCTTTCTAGCCAGAATGTGCAAATACTGATTCTGAGGCCAAATCTGAATCCAGTAGAAAAATATACCCTGCATTTTCAAACGATTAGTAGACATATGAGAAGAAATTGATCTTCCATTCATGCTCTGATAAAGCACCAGATTATACATTCAATTTGGACTGTAATTTGTAATTATTTGGACACAATAGTTAACACACTCCTATCTCACTTCCTCTGTGATGCTCACAGTGCTCCGCTCCTACTGTTTGTATTGGTCATGCTACTTCCTACTTTAACAGGCCCAGGAAGCTTCAAGCTCCACCTCTTAAAGTGTTGCAAGTTGAGGATGTTAGGGTGTAGTGAAGCCAAGCTGTAACTACCCACAACTCAATTCTTCCTTTCTATCTCAGACACTCTTTTCTGTTTATTTTTATTTAGAAGGATTCTATCTACTACATTAGGAAAAATAAAAGTAAACACTACTAACAGTGTTTACCATGTTCCAATCACTGTTTTCAGATATTAACATATATTAGAACAGTCATTAGACAATGTTCCCTTTCTCATGTATCTGTTGAGAAATCTAAGGCATAAACGTGGACTCACTTGCTCAAGATTTCACTGCTAATAAGTAGAAGAGTCAAAGTTCAGACTCAGAGAATCTGTCCAGAGTCTATGCTCATGAGTGCTAAGTATATTTCCTTTCGAGAGAGTGACAGAATTAGTCTCTAGTTTCTCTTCATCTCATAGATGTCCTTACTCCATTTTCCAGGGTCGACCTAACTATGGCCTTTAATTGGGATGGTTTATAAATGAAAGTTCTGTTTCATTCTCCATTGCACATTTAAATCCTAGTAATCACAGTCTCTTTCTCTAGAAAGTGGAAGAGATCCCCTTATTCTAAGGCAGGCTGACCTTTCTGGGGCTCCATTCTTCTGAAGTAAAACATTCTTAGGCAAAATTAGGCATTCTTTAATTTTTCCACACTGGAATTAAAATATACTTACTGATTTTTGACAATGGGAGTTGATGTTCCTGTTTCATATCAGCCAGTTTAGAAACAATTAGTAGAAAAGAGGCAAAGTCCTTTGCAATTCCCATGTTATACTCATGTAAAGCAGCACTGAAATCCTCAGGAAGATCATCAAGGAACACCTAGGGGCCAAATGTTTTTCAGAGAGATCTATAGATCATCCTTGAAAGAACTCTTCAGAAGAAAGGTAAAGACCATAGCAACATAATTCTATAACTATCTATTTATTCGATAATGTCATTATTTCATTCCTTCATAAAATTAAGGCAAGATTCATTTTTGTTTCTACTCGCATTTATAAAAACAAATAACTTACTCTATACTCTTAATTATTTCATTGACCCAACTGACTCAAAACCACTTTTTAAGTAGAACCATGACCTCAAATAACATTAGACTCATAAATATTTCAAAGAATCTAGTGACATGTTTGGAGACCAAGCAATGAGATTAAGCATGTTTGCATTCCCAGAATTAACCTCACTTGGCTGTGATGGTTTTTAAAATTTCTGTGTTCACTTTACCAACATTTTGTTAATTATTTAACATCTATATTAAGGAAAGAGATGTTTCTAATTTTCTTTTTTGTAGTGTCCTTTTCAGGTTTTCACATTAAGGTTAAGTTTTGCTCCTAGGAAGAATAACTATCCCCATGGAGCCAACAGGTGATGTCATAGTTCAGATGCTGGACACCCACATGGCTAAGTGTAGTTCGAGCTCTGGACCTGGTGGTGTGAACCTCATGCTAGGTACATGTATGTGTATGCTTGCCCAAAATTCCAAGAGGAGAAGGGATTGTGGCCTGGCCAAGCCCCTTAGAGGTGGTGATTTCTCACTTTCACTCTCTCTGTCTCTGTCTCTCTCTCTCTCTCTGGCAAGCACATGTGCTCTATGGCAAAAACCTAAAAAATATAAATAAAAAGGAGTAACTATCTTCTGTTTTTGTATTCCTTAGAAGAGTGCTATAGACTGAACATTAGCATTTCTTTCCCCAAATGTTCAATAACAAGTATGTTAAAAATCCTACCCCCCCCAATATGATGATATTAGAAGGTGGGGCATTTAGGAGTGGTGAGGTCATGAGGATGGAGCTTTCATAAATGAGAAAAGTGCTTTTATAAAAGAGACCCTAGTGCACCCTTGCCTCTTCTGCCATACGGAGACACAGCACAAAGATAACCACCCATGAGTCACCAGTGACCTTGATCTAGTACGTCCCAGCATCCAATACTGTGAGAAGTAAATTTCTGTTGTTTACTATCCACCAATTATTGCTAGATTATAGTAGCCCAAACAGACTAAAAGCAAAGGGTTTTTGAAAATTTGGTGTTACTCTTATTTTTTCTTCCTTTTATATGTTTTGTTATTTATTTATTTATTTTGGAGAGGTTTTTGCTATAGGGCACATATGCTCTCCAGAAAGACAGAGAGAGACAGAGAGACAGAGAGACAGAAAGCAAGAAATCACCCCCCAGGGGGATGGCCACACCGCAATCCCTTCTCCTCCATACTCTTCTCAGGATCTTGGGCACGCACACACATGAACCCAACGTGAGTTTAAGCCACCAGGTCTGGGACTCGAACCGCAGTCAACTACATGGGAGTTTAGTTACATAGCCATTACACCAACTGCTGGTCTCTGCTTTTTGTTTGTTTGTTTTTGTTTTTGTTTTTGTTTTCATGAGCTGAACTCAGATTCAGAGACTTCTGTGTTCTTACTTCCCAAAACTTATTTTATTTTCTGGTTTTATCAAAGCCTACTTGTTAATTAAAAATTGTATAATTTAAGGTATAAAACCTGATACTTTGATATGCATATACTTCGGTGCTGTTCTTTAAATGTTTGAAAACATTCACCAGTGAAGCCATTTTA